AGCACGACAGAAGGGCACCCCTTTGCCTAACTAGCATGACAGACACGTTTTGAGTGCCCGGGAAATTTGTCATGCGCCGACTACAAATGGCGCTTCAACTGGAGTTGTTTTTTTGCATTACAAATGACTTCCACTTTGAGGATTTCCAACCTGAGGCTTTCATAAAGGCTGCTGGTGCAGTGCAGTGAAATTTCCCTGCTGTTGCTGCGCCTGGAGGGTCGGCACGTGCGGTATCCACAGTAAAAAATTCCCCGTACACGTTGTACAAATGCGGTCTCCGCATCACAAAAGTTGGTTTCGATTCTAGTTTTTAATAGCATGACAAGTTTTAATATTACGCTTCAAATTGGTACTAGAATTTGTGATGCATCTTGTACATGTACGGGAAATAAATTTGTATTGCATATGCGGCCAGAAGACCTGCATCAAAGCTTGGCAGTCTGAGGAGTACGACGGGGAGGTGGATGGCACAACTTGTACGTGTATCAAATGCAAATATGTCTTGAGCTGGAAGGTTGGAACTTGTAATGCTGTCTGCGGATTCTAAAAATATCTGCGTTGCATGAGCAGCAAGAGGACTCAGTTCTTGGCACGCGGAGAGGGCCGCGTTTCTCATGCGTAATTAGCATCAAGAGGCTCTCAAAAAATATGTGTTGCTAGCACCAGCATCACAGACCTCACGGGTCATGCAAAATGTGCATGACAAACCTTCCACTCTTCCAGACCCGCCAGACATATTTGCAATCCATAACGTGCGGAGGGAAGCGCGGCCTGTACGTATACGTGCGGAAGGAGGATGGAAGCACCGAGTGCGTGCCAGCAAAAGTTCTGGGACGTCGCCACACCATGACCTCGCCGTCGGCGTCTGGTCACGAGGGAGGGGTGGCTCCACCGCAGCAGGTGACCATGCGAGGAGAAGATGAAGAACATGGGGGGCGCAGCGGCAGCGGCAGCGGCAGCGGACCTGCCTCGTCCTCTACTTCCAGGAGAGTTGGCGGTCGATCCCCGAGTCGCGGTAGGCGCGGAAGTCGATCCCCGAATCGCGGTAGTCGCGGAAGTCGATCCCCGAATCGCGAGGCACGCGCCGCTTCCGCCGGTCCCGCCGCTCCCTTCCTTCATGTAGAGGACCCCTTGTATGTTAATTATCATATCCCTAACCCTGTGCGCAATGCCACACGCAGGATGGATGATGATGATGATGATGAGCGCTCACTTCCCGTAGAAAAATAAACTAGAAGTTTTACAGCAACCCCAGCTTCTCTGGGTCCGCGTCGTCTTCGTTGTGGTCCTTGTATAGAAGTGGGGGCAACAACTAACTACAACAACAAACAACAAGCAACAACAGCACTTTCAGCAGTAACAACGCATAATTCGGTAATATTTTTAACCGAAGCTGCAGCATGCAGTCGTCTTCTACCTTCTCTTCGACTGGCCGCTTCGGATCCTCGAGGAACCCGGTTGACGGCGGAGTATAATTCGACTCGTGCTTTATTTTGACTACGGTGACTGTTGGTTCTAACTCCTTGCTCGACAATTATATTAAATTCCAGCATTACAAATTATGCTACACACGACGTAGGAACTACCGCCCAGCTTCATCGCCGCGCCCCGACCCTGTCGTCCGGAGATTGAAGCGGCCGCCAGGCGGTGCCATAGATTATGCATTGCAAAAATGTCTGGGTCTGGAAAGTTGGAACTTGTGATGCTAACTCTGGACTCTAAAAAAATCTGTGTTGCATGACCAGCAAGAGGAGCCACATTTGTGCTACGCGAGAAGGGCATTTGTCATGCGGAAATGGCATCAGGAAGCTTTCCAAAAATCTGTGATGCTGGGTCATGCATTACAAGCACCATGGGTCATGCCAGACAAGCATGACAAGCCTTCCATTCTTCCAGACCCAGACATTTTTACATTTGATATAGATTTTTGGCACTGAATGTGTATTGGCCGGGTTTTTGTCACAACGAACTAACTATCCTGTGCAAAAGTATCGTACTCGTACTAATTGCGTTTCTGCATTACAAATCTATTTCTTAAGCGAAATCCGCATTACAAATTCAATTTGTAATGCAGAATGCAATTTATACTAGTACGATGCTTTTGCAGTTCATACTAACCCCACAGGTCTGTAAGAACTACACCTAGGAAGCGTTTGTTTGTAAGCATTTAGATTTAGGTTTAGGGTTCATCGCTCAAAAAGAAGGTGCGTTCTGTAAAACGTCTCAGGAATTATGTCATTGATTCGTGTCAGCTGTGCGGCTGTTTTTGATTATTGTCAGCTGTGCGGCTGTAGTTTTGGAATAAAGTTTAGTTTTGATTAGTTATAGTTTTGATAAGAAGTAACAGCACACCTGAACAACTTAGCACACCTGAACAACTTGAAGTATATGTTCTTTTGATTTTGTGTGTTGAAGAGGAAATGTTTTTTTTTTCACGATGAGAACGGAAAGGAGAAAAGATGGATTTCTCATGCGAGAAAAGAACTCGACTTCGAACCTGAACAATTGTGAGAAATAAAGATGAATTTCTCATGCGAGAAGATGGCATGCAGCTTCTGACATTTATATCCTGTCTAGTACAACGTTAACGCTATTGCCATAATAGAGGACCACTTTATTTTTAGCTCTACAAAGTGTAGCGACTGACCTTCGGGCGGCTATCAAAACTGCATGCAAGAACGATCAAAGCGCTATCTTTTTTCTTATACGTGTATGATTTTACAACTAGTACTGACATAGGAACTTCACACTATCAAGAACACGAGTCTACGATACTTACAAACTCCAACGCACTTCGGGCGACTGCGTTTGGAAAGTGTGAAATCTCGCCGGAACAACCGAATCGGCACGCTTTGGCAAGTAGACAAATTTCGAAAAATCGACTTTCGAATTTCGCGCGTGTCTATTTTATCCAGAAGAGATGTTGACATTAATCATGCCTCGCGTTATTTTTAGAAGAGATTGCGAGAAAATGAAGGACAGGACCCCTCCTGTAATTCGCGTAGTCCACCTCCAGATGGGGAATTTTCGCGCATTGAGATCGAAGATCCTAGATGCAACTGCCTCCGGATCATCGGATGACAAGGAAAAAAATGCCGACGCTTCATCCTACTTGACAGACAGTTGGTTATTTCGGCCAGAATCCGACGTCGAGGATTTCCAGCTCTTGCAAGATCTCCGCATGAGAAAAGAACTCGACTTCGAACCTGAACAATTGTGAGAAATAAAGATGAATTTCTCATGCGAGAAAAGAACTCGACTTCGAACCTGAACAATTG